CTGTCTCTGGCAGACACAGACAGACAGACTGGCCTGTCCGTGACATCGAACATGACACACTAGGAAAAAAAAAAAAGGGTATTCTCGTCTACTGTCAATGAGAGAAAGGAGTCTATCACGTATTTTTTACAGGTATTTAAAAAAATCTGCCTACACAGGCTAATTCTGGTGGGGAAGGGGTACGAGAATGGGGATGTGGTTAACAGTTGGACATTAATCTCTTACCATGGCAACCAGATTGTATTCTAGCATATGTGTCGAAGCGATAACATGGATATTAGCACAGGTATCAATAGTAGTCACTCTAACATAAGTTATGGGGTGGAAGATTTTACTCCAGTGCCTATAGTTCCCCATTGATCCACAGTTTTGGTGGTAAGTCGCCTAGCATACTTTTGCTGCAAAAAACATTGATGAAGTGAGATGAACAGGCTGAAAACTTTATCGTATTAGATAAAATACAGTAGATGTTGACAAAGTTTTCCTTTGGGGAGTTGAAAAAAGGTAATAAATTTCAATGTATTGCAATATATTTAGTGCAATACTCATCATACCGTAACTTGTTTAAAATCGCACACGTTATATCGTGACTTAAAGCGACACTTACCTTTCTGGAAACTTTACACTTTTCTTTGTTTAGGTTAAAATGCTATTAATAAGCTGATGGCACACTAAAATGTAAGTGAATTCCACCAGAGATGAAAACTCAAAATTATACCATTCTCATATGGTTCTAAGAAAACTCCGGTCCGAATGCAATGATTGGTCGGAGTTTTCTCCTGTCCTGTCTGTCTTCCCCACGTGGAGGCCTCCGACTGACGTAACCGCTCGTGCCACATCATCGCAAAAATGATAAAAAAAAAAAGAAGTTCAGTTGAGTTCATAACGTTATAAATGACAACACAGCATCCAGTCACTAATGGCCTACTGTAGCGTAGCCTCTGAAACATTAACGTTATCTTCCCTGTATGTTTCCACTGACTAGTAACGTTAATGCTACTATCTAACGTTAGCACTGTAACCTTATTCTAAAACTCATCAGTCATCACTGACTCTGGTTGAGTTTTAAAACTCTGGTGTTGCATTTGTAACGTTACACTCGCCCTCCTCTTCCTTGTATCTAACGTTACCTTGCCAACACCTACATCTATCTTAGACGTAATGAGGACGTAATGGAGGAGGGGGATGGGACTTTGGAGGGAGGCGGGAGTTGTGGATGTTCAAATTTTTTTGTGCTGTGTGAAAATGCAAGAAAGGTAAGAGTCCCTTTAAGTTTTGTGTTAACATTGTACCATGGATCCTCTGGTGATTCCCACCCCTAGTGGCTACACAGTGCAACTCATTGTGTAGGCTACAGTTTTGGAGCGGCCAAGAAGAATTGACAACCTAAAAAATGCTATTTTATCTGCATGTTAAGCTACGTTAAAGTTTATTAATAGATTATGCGGTATCAGAATGACTATCTTTTTTGTATAGTGTAGAAATAATGTTTTGATTCTCTCTCACGGTTATCTTTAGCATCAGTTTTCATCATCCAGTACAACCACAGTCGGATCTGCTGGCCACTGAGCAGCTCCACTGATAAAGGCTTTGCTCAAAGCAGCCCTGGTGGTAACATTACCATGTTAGCATCATCCACTGTGATGCTGGTTACTGCTACACAGCTCTAAACTTCACCTCAGAGCCTCATGTCAACTTAAACTGTGGATAAACTTTTATCACAGAAATAAACTGGGGTTAGGCTGGTTTACCCTTCATCATGTCCCCTGTCAAACGTCTGTGTAATGGGTCTGCAGCCAGACACAGTCACTTCAGAACACCATGTCTGTGTCCTCTTGCAGCAGAACAGCTTTTAAAAGTTGTTTGCTTCCATTTCTGTCGACATTATCCCATTTAAAGTGTGACGGATAGCCAGCATCCTCACATCATCACGAGCCGTACCAGCCTCTTCGCCGCAGCTCACATTAAAGGGTCGTGGAGAAAATGGTTAGACACATTTCTATATGTGTCATTCCCTTTTGGGATCTAGGTGGTTATATTTAGTTGGGGTTTTGTCCACTGTGTAATGAAGTCCACGCTGCGTCTGGCCAGAAGATGATAAGCCTTTTTCAAGGGAGGTAATGTGCAGGCTCAGGGGCTTCCTCATCTCGGCCGATTCGGGTCCCGCTGAGCCCCCGAGAATACTGATCACTGCTGTGGATGCAAATGAGGGGAACTTTCCTCAAGGTCGAAAAAAGATTCATGCAGAGCAAATTAAGTCAGATGACTCTTCGCCCGTTGTGGCTTTTTAAATTGCACTGGGCCTGGCAGAAATATGATACATCTTCTGGCTGGTAATGAGAGTATTATTTCAAAAAAAAAAAACAAAAAAAAAAAAACATCTTTCATTACTTTTCTCTCCCTATTCGATTTACACCTCTTGTGCTTAAAATTCAGCAAAGGGAAAGGAGACAGCGTCAATTATAAGATGCAGATTCCTAAAAAGTGCTTTGAGCAGCCGCATTATTCATAAAATGTGATGTACCAAGATATAGAAAACTGATCAAATGTTCTCATATACCTCAAGAGGAAGAACGTAAGCAACAGAACACAAAGTAACACAAATATAATGTAAAATGTAGACTTCAATCAGAAATTCAGTGAACCGAGTCGTAATTCGGAAATTCAAAACATATTGAGCGTCCCTGGAAAAAAACAACCTTCTTCACTCCGGAAACTTATTGGCTTTTCTGAAATTAGTTATGAGTCACCTCATTAGAGGACGGAACATTTACAGTGATAACGGAGAATACAGATGCTGACTCATTAGTGCAGAGGAAAGTTATTTCAGATTTCAAAATGCTTTTTCCGTTCATCTTGTATTCAGAGGCTGGCAGGGCTGAACTCACAACAAATGTCTGTAACTATCTTCTCTACCAGTCATATGAACATTTTAAAGCTGAATCAATTCACAGTTTTATATTAACAGTGGATCAAATTAGGGATATGCATTATTAGGGGCCATACATATGCCAATGTAGACGCATGGTAGGCGGCTATAAACGCCAGAGCACACCTTCGTGGCACGGAATCATTCCCGAGCACCTATTTTTCAGGGCGCAACCAATCACAGATATCTTTCCCTTCTTCCGTAAATATCAGTCATTGGTAAATATGAAAATGTTGATTATTTTAGTTCTGGGCTACCCAGAGCTTTACATCTGGAAGAAGATCAGCTCTGCACTCAGGATCTCAGACGAAACCTGCCGCCGCTGTTTTGAAAGCTGGCTCAGTTTTGACTATTTTGTGTTGAGTGTTTTCTTACATTGAGACGACAAGACTGGGTCTAAACTTCTATTTAAAGGTACACTACACAGGATTGTCGGTTACTGTCTGCGAACACCCTTGCCAGTGAGAGTTTGTTGGGCATTTTGCTTTGCTTTGTTTTTCGGCGCTGTGGGGGTACACGCACACAAACATCCCAAACACAGGAAAAAAAGAAGACGCTGAGAAGACAGACTCTGCTAAAAAATTCACTGCCACACACTTCTATTGAGTCATAACTTATAATTTAGAGGTATTACTTCTGTGAGTCCTTGAAAAATTCTGTATAGTATGTTTTTAAACATTAGGAAAATTACTTGTTAGGAGCATCCCAAGACTATATGATCAAAAGATGTCCGTTGTAGTGATGAACCCACAGAGAATTCTCACCTAACTCTGCCATTCCTGTTAGCTTAACAAATCTTCGTAGCATTTTTCAGCTTGTTTTGGTTTTCTGGCCTGCAACTTTAGTGTCGTGGTTCAGTATCACCACACTCATGAAATTTGTTTCCAGCAGCAGACAGCAACAGCAACAACAACAAACTTTGATAAACCCACTGTTGAAAGCTTTAAACTAAACCCCACTGAACCACCATGTTGAAAACAGTTGACCCAAAACGAAGCACTACAGCTAAACAGTACACTAAAATATGTACATTTGAGATGATAAATAGGTGATTCAAAGACAGATGATTGATTCATATTTGGTCAGCGCTGCCTAGTTTGACAGTTTGACTGGAGTTTATGGGCAGTGACTGACATGATTACCAGCTGCGTTAGAGACTCCTCAGCTCTGATTGGTTGTTTTCCCTTAGCCGCGGGGAAATTTAGCACAGTGGTTCCCACCTGGTGGTTTGCAGTACAAAACTGGGTCATGGCCCATTCTGAATGGACCTCAACTGACTCGTGAAAGTGACATGTTGGTTAAAAAACACATTTTTAGCAGTACAGTATATTTCCAGCACAGAGCTTTTAATTTGATGTGCCATCTTCTGCTGCAGAGTGAGTGACTAACAGACAGCTACTTAACGGAGACAGTGAACAAGCTCAACGAAATGGCCAAACACAAGTATGACGCTGAATGTATTAAACTGTGTGGACCTCGAACTAATGACTAAGTGGCTGTGACATTTTACCGGGGCGGCTTGGTTAAAATTGTTATGGTTGATCTTTGTTTCACTTTTAATTGAATCATTTAGATAATATGGGTAAACTGGGGATCTTGTTTCAACCTAATTAACCCAATTTAAGACTTTTTCTGCTGGCTCTCTGTGGCAAGGAGATCCCAGCTGCTTGTATGTAAACATTACATACCCAGCAAATTACAGATATAAGAAAGTGCTTTGTCATTTGCTTTAGTGAAATGAATTGTGATGCAGGCTGCTCCTTTGCACACTGTGTAGCTTAAAGATATGACTGATGTACCTGATCCGTATCTTAAAAACATTATGTAGAACAGAAAATGATATGTAAGCCTTCTGTCATGCAGCTACCTCTCTCTAATTGATTTGGCACGAGACAATGGGAGCGCCATGTTTAAAAACTGCAACAGCTCAGTTGCTGCTATTAATAGAAGCTGGGCTCCTGTTGGCGTGCAACTGTAACCGGATTAAATCATTATGCAATGACTTTGCGTGATCCTCACTACTGTAAACATCCGACGTGTGGGTTAATTTCATGTTTTCCATGTGTTTCAGGTCCCATCAGCAGTGTACTGGTCAACACATATGGCTGTAGGCCCATCGTCATGATGGGTGGCTGCCTCTGTGCCACTGGCATGATCTTAGCTTCCTTCTGCACCAGTGTGGTGCAGCTTTACCTCTGCATAGGAGTTATCGGTGGTAAGTCCGTCTAAATCCACTTTAAGTTAATGTGATGAGCCTGTGCTTCTAAGGAGCAGGTTAAAAATATACCTGTTGTTGCAGGAAGGAACTCTTGCTTTGCTTGTTTTAATCTATTTTGGTTCTTAACTTCATTTAATCATGCATTGTTATGACATAATTAAATATACTTCCCTACAATTTACTCATGGTAGGGGTTAAAATGTAGCAGCTCGACCAAAATATTTGATCTGTTGTAGTTACAGTCTAAGTGTCAATAAACAGCCCATTTAAATCCAAGTGAAATTACATGACTCTACCACCTAATAATCAATACCACACGAACACAGCAAACCGATAACTGTCTTGGCCTGCACCAAAGCTCTTGAATAATTCACACTCAGTGATTTTTACATAACAATATAAGAATACTGCTCAAAGAAGCTTTTATAGTATTCCATTTGAAAATAGGGATGTGTGCAGAAAGCCCTTAAGGAACACCTGTTATTGGGAAATGTTTAATAGAAGAAATATCCTCAGGTTTCTGCAGGTTAAGACTAAGGCCCAGTCCCATTTCTTATTTTTACTCCTACCCCTTAGCCCCTTTTCCACCAACATTTCCAGGAACTTTAATACCAGGAAATTGTTTACCTGGGTAAAATAATTCCTGGTAATCTGTGTGGGTTGTGTTTCCACCACACCTCAAAGTTCCGGAAAATGTATTCAAATGAGCGTGATGACATAGATGATTAGGCATGTGCCCTGTATTTGGCTCTGCCAGCTTGGCTGATTACGTGCTGGTGTAGAGAGTTGGGGCTGTTTTGTCTCAGCCAGCAGCTAAGTTTAAAAGTATTTTAAGATAAGTGTCAAACTAAGTTAGTCTACATACAAACAGCTGTCATTTGAACTTATTAGTAACAGTTCACTATCAGCTGAACTAGCGTGCTGTCCTTGTGTAAGACAGAACGTTAGTGTCGGTGGATGAGAGACTGTGGACACAGGGTTAATGTCACTAACAGTAACGAGTGTAGCTGCCATCAACTTGAGTTATCTTCGAGTTATCTTCACTTTGTTTCCACCGCGGCCGCTCGGCTATTCACAGGTTACCGTGTCGCGTGGGTGTGTGTGTAGATGTGGGTAGAGGAGATCAGCGCCGGCACAAAAGAACTGATACCGTTAGCGCTTATCAATACTACGGTCTTTAATAATTTAGCTCCGAGGCTAATTTAGTACCGGGTTCTGTACCCATCCTTAATCAAAACAGAAACGAAGTGGAGCTTGTAGAAATGAAATAAAGCTTGCAGCAGCTGCCCACACCAGGAAGTGCGGAACGCTGCAAGTGTGTGTTCCACCGATCAGCGTTCTTCAGCACACAGCCCAGCCCTTCAAGAATTCCGGGTAACCTGAAAAGTCCTACCCTCTGACTAGATACTTTTTCCAGGGTAAATTTGGGGTTGAGGGAAAGGTTTTTCAAAATTCTGGTTAACTGATAAAAGTTCCTGCGGTGGAAAAGGGGCGCTTATTTCTTAGTGCCACCTTACTCCTCAGAACAGAGTTACAATGTGTAGTGGTTGAAGTCCTCCCCAATAAAATGGGAAAACCCTTCAGGACCCTGATACGGTAGTTGTCAATGCTAGCGTAAAAAATGGCAGCAAGCGTTTCTCGTGTGGGCTACAAGTGCCCTTCTGTGGTTGCCTGAACACTCAGGATTTGTCCACACCTTTGATTTCACACTATCAAGCCATAAAACAAATAATCAAATACAAGATGAAACTGCTTCATTACCAGGCCACTATCAGTGCTCTGTAGGCTAACGTTAGCAACCCATGTTCCTACCCTGTCAATATGTACTGATATTAGAGGGGCAGTAAAAAGTGCAGCAGTGACTTTGGTTAAATTTTGAGTTTAATATGCCATCAAAGCAGAATGGGACATAGAAATATGTCAAAATGTGGCACAGTCTTGCACAAATCAGCAAATACAATATGGCTTGCTAGCTGGTTAGCTACTAAAACATTTAAAGTTTTTATTAACAACGAAAATATAGGTTTTTTTTGTTTCTCATACAGCTATCACAGCTAACACTTCACTCCACCCCTTTATCCCAACAAGAATTGGGTCCATTCACCAGTTTCATCACCATGCAATATTATTTCAATTCTTAGGACAACGATACGATATTTGCAGATATCATAAAGTCTGCCACGATACGATTTCGATTTGATTCAATTCAGGGGCCTGCGATCGATAAGAGAGGATATCATATGATCATTAATCGTAACAACTTAAGTGCAGTAAAGTTTGCTTTGAATTGCTTTAAATTGACTCCACCAGCACACATAAAACAGCACATGGGATAAGTTAACCCTCAGAGCTTTCTGTCAGAAATATCTTTCTGGAAGAAATCTTTTCATTTTAACTCAAACCATCATCTATTTCCTAAAACGCCAGGGCTAACTGGCCTAAAATCTTGAAGGCAAACTTTTCCCAACAGCCATAAAACAACAAGCTCATTAACAAAAGTATAAAATTCAGCTCAATAATAACTGTCAAGGTTAAAAAAGAAAAGTTGTTTTTTGCTACTCACCCAAAATAACCATAAGTAAATTTACATTGTATAAATTAGCCTAGCTGCTAGCGGAGTTTTCTTCTGGTTATAGCTTCACAGTTGCAAGTATTATTTATATTTTTTCTTACACACTGTTGGTTTAAGTCACTGCATCTCCCACCAGAATAACACAGCTGAAATTTAGCCTATGTGCACACATTTTTAGCCAAACATTGTTGATAAAGAGCAGCTAATATTGCTGTTTTGAAAAGTTAGCAGAGTAAGATGTCCATCTAGGTAGATAAGTCATGTTTCCTGAGTATTTTATCTCATCTGTTGAACCGTATATGAACCGTAAATAATGTTATCTTCATCGTCATTTTCTTGGCTGCTTGCCATTATTTGACTGCCGCTGTTTGACAGTGACATAGAATTTCAAAATAAAGGCTTATCCTAAAGATGATGATATGGATCAATATTTTCATTTTGCACTGATTATATTGGATCGTTGATCATTGATTCGATATATATCGATCCAAATCAATGAATCATTACACCTCTACAACGTGCAAAATGGAGGGGAATTGGCAGAATGGTAGGAGTAGGGGGTGTATTGGGATTGAGCCTAAGAGTGTGTATAACCATGCTAGCTAAATGCTAACACTAGCATGGACACATGCTTGCAGTGGAAATGCTAACATGCAGATGTTTAGCAGGTATAGTGTTAACCTTTTACACCATCTTAGTTTAGCATTCAACAGTTTGTAATTAGTGTCAACCATCAGTGCAACTGAGGTTGATGGTAACGTCAGTAGTTTTGCAGATACCTGGCCATAAAACTATTGTACAATGTTAGCATGGCTAAAAAAATGTTGCTAGCTTGATCTTACAGCAGTAAGTTCAGAGGTATTTAGTTACTTCTAACAAAGTGTAATTTTAAAAACTGTTTTCTTATTCAGATGAGTAAAACAGTCCACCAACAGCTGCAGCATGATTGTTACAAGTCTAATGTGCCTCTGTCATCTTTCTTCATAGGACTTGGACTAGCCTTCAACCTGCAGCCAGCGCTGACTATGATAGGAAAATACTTCTATAAAAAACGACCCATTGCTAACGGGCTGGCAATGGCTGGCAGTCCAGTGTTCCTCAGCACCTTGGCTCCTCTTAACCAGTACCTCATCAACCAGTTCGGCTGGAGAGGCAGCTTCCTCATCCTGGGTGGCCTGCTACTTAACTGCTGTGTGGCTGGTTCCCTCATGAGGCCTCTGGTACCACCACCCAGTAAGCTCAAGAAGGATGAAGAGTTAGCCGTTGTTGCCACCACAACAAAAGAGAAGCACACTACCTGGCAAACAATCAACAAGTACCTGGACTTAACACTCTTCAAGCATCGTGGCTTTCTCATTTACCTTTCAGGTAATGTCATCATGTTCCTGGGTTTCTTCGCACCTATTGTCTTCCTTGCAGCCTACGCTAAAGACATAGGTGTGGATGAGTACTCGGCTGCCTTCCTGCTCTCAATTCTGGCTTTTGTCGACATGGTTGCCAGGCCCACCATGGGGCTACTCGCCAACTCACGGTGGATCCGGCCCAGAATCCAGTACTTCTTCAGCTTTGCTGTGCTGTACAATGGGGTGTGCCACATACTCTGCCCACTGGCGGAGGGCTACACTGGTCTGGTGGTGTATTCAATGTTCTTCGGCTTTGCCTTCGGCATGGTCAGCTCAGTGCTGTTTGAAACACTGATGGACCTGGTTGGGGCTCAGAGGTTCTCCAGTGCTGTAGGACTCACCACCATTGTGGAGTGCTGCCCGGTACTCATTGGTCCACCTCTAGCAGGTACGATCTGTCTGTCTGAGAGGTTATTTCACTTACTTACACGTACAATTTTTACTACCTGCAATTTCAAGTGATCTTAGCCTTTATAGTTATTAGTGTCCATTAAATTCACAACATTTTTAAAGGGAAACTTCGGTTGTTTTTTTAACCTAGACACTATATTTTCCATGTTTTGTGTTCAAGTGACACATGGGAACAACAGTTTTTAAAAGTGGTCTAGTATTAAGAGAGATGCAGAGAGAGCAGCAAAGAAACAGGCTTTAATGTAACCACGCAATTGTGCATTCTCAATTTATGTTTACTGTAGGTGCTTGTTTTGGCCACTGACAGGCTCAGATTGTCTGACAACATTATGGAAAGGATCACTACAAAGAAATGAAAGGTTTCTTCCTTACCTTTCACTTGAGTTTGTTTGTTTGTTTGTTTTTCAAATAGTTGAAAACAGCTTAAAATTCAGCCATGGCGTTGAAAATCTTTTAAATAAGACTGAGCTATGCTTATTTTCGCCAACACAACAAAATCTTGACAACACTCACTAACATTTCCACCGTTGTTTTTCCTGCAACAAGTCGCATCTTGTTGAGATGTAGAGATTTCAGATTTAGACTTTTCATTTGTGAGACCTAAACACAATAACAAACAGACCAAGAAAAGGTAAGAAAAAAGTTTCCTATCTCTGTGGGTTCCTTTCCATAATGTTGTTTGACACTTCTAATAACAATCTGAGAGTTTAGGTGGCAAAAACAAGCATTTCTATTTGACATAAATTGACAGTGCAGGTTGGAAAATACCAAAGTTTCTCTTAATGCCTGGTCACACCAGAGAGCTAGTGATGGGCTGTCACAAAAACACAGTAGCTAATGGGACAATGAGTTAGCCTGGATGCTAACGGGAAGACATGTTCACACAAATTATTCAATAAAGGTGTTTTTAAAAACATTTTGAAGTTTTGGTATGACCAAGTGGTTACTCAAATGGGTAGAATTTAATAGCTGACATTTAGACATGTTTTCTGTAAATCTAACTGTAAATCTCAATTCTACTTGGCAATAATTTAAGATTATATAACTGTGCAGATACCTCAACACTGAAAACCCTTTTGCTGTCTTGCAGGGAAATTGGTCGATCTCACAAAGAACTACAAGTACATGTATTTTTGCTGCGGAGCTGTCGTCATTTTTGCCAGTATTTGGCTCTTCATTGGAAACTTCATTAACTACAGACTTTTGGAGCGTGAGCGCAAGAGTGCAGAGATGTACAAACGGACTGAGACGGAAGATCCGGACCAAGCTCGGGATCAGAAGGAGACTGATGGGGAAGCCCAGGCTTCGCAGGAGCTGGTCGACAAAAGTGAAAAGGGTGAGGAACCTATGCAGCGGGAAACCAACATCTAGATCCTTCTGCTCTGCCAATAGCTCACCCTCAACTCCGCGTCAGCCCTGCAACACCCTTTGTCACGATCAAACTGAGCTCCAAGCCAAGAGGTGCCTCTCGGTGTTCCAACAGGCTCTATTCGGGGTCCTCCACACTTCTGTAAAACTAACTGCCAAAGCAACAACTGTGTTGTAGCAGGCTGTGAGGCATAGTATCTGTTTGTCAAAGAGCATCAGCTGTGACTATAACAGAAATATTAACCACAGAGAAAAGTGTAAGATATTGTATGCATATGAGGAGACAAAATTTCAGAAAATGGCACGGAAAACAATGTAGTACTAACTGTATTTCTTTTTTTGCCACGTTCACCTCATATCGGATTTACTGTAAACAAAAGACTGTAGCTGGGGGGAAAAGTACATTTATAGCAAACACCTAGCTGCAATCAGGATGTAGGATTATATTATATGGAGGAACATCTAAATTGTGGTATCAACTGAGAACTACCATTAGCAGCAAATCCACAGATGTTGGCAAAAAAATAGAAAATAAGTTAAATTTGCAGACAATCAACGCTGCTGAAGATAAGTATTATCTACTTCCGTTTGTTAATGGTTTATTTGAATTATCTCCATTTGTCTCAACAAATTCAAATATTCCAAGCTGCAGCAACAAGCGTCATTCTCTTCTTCTACTATGTCTTCCGATATGACGTGAATGCAGCATCAGCGTGTTGCCACTGTTCCAGAAACACCAGCAAACTAAATCCATATTCAAAACTAACTCTGTCCTCTTCATAACACACTGAAGTCTTGGTAAACAAGCAAAGGTTAAGTTAACAAGAGAAAGTAGTGGGGGCTGCCCATTACTCTGATGGCTCAAAATTCCAAAGCCCTGTTTGTCAAAAAAATGTCCCATTGGACCAAAAGTCCATTTCTCTGACAGCCTGATGTCCCAAAAACAAACATGCGTTGCTCAAAAGTCCAGGTTCTCAGAAAATACATACTCCCTGCAGTTAGACGCAGCCACCAGAAATTGTTTTTCTCATTGTACGTTTCTGTAAAACATGGATACATAAAATTTGTTAACAATGCTGTGGTTAACGTGGTTTTAGGTTTAGGCACAAAAACCACTTGGTTATGGTTAGGAAAAGATCATGTTTTGGCTTTAAACACCAACAGTGGGGTAGCACAAAAGTTGCTGGAAAAGCAGGGACGGGTCGATAAAAACACAGAGATCAATGGCTGAATTGTCCCTGGGAAACAGTGGGAGTGTGTGTTTTTGGAAAAACGGGACTTTGGTGCAATGAATGTTTGGTTTAGGGATAAAAGGCTGTTGGAGAAATGGGCTTTTGGTCCAATGGGACATTTTTTTGGACCACTGAGGCTTCACAATTTTGGGCCATTGGATCAATAGCATGGCACCAAAGCAGTGAGCGCATTACTCTGTGGTAAGAAAAACTTTTCTGTGAGTGAAAGGTCACTGGTTTGATGCTAACAAAGCCAGTGTCTGTTAAGTTTTGAGTACCGCTTGATTGCTACCTATGCATTCATGCTGCGAATAACTTGATTATGCGCATTTTGAAAAACTGGACCGATCAGATGAGCTACAATCACAGGTGCTAATTTGTTGGCATAGAAAATTTACAGATAAAACAATTTTGGATATTATTATTAGCCATAATGATGAATAAACCCATTCTCCAAGCATCAATCTTTACCATGCCTCTTCTATCACATCAGGAAAACTGAAAGGCAAATGTTCTAAACATCTCTCTGTTGCTAGAAAAAGACATTTTTAGTAAGACTTAGACTTCCGTTCCAGCCACTACAGCACGACAACAACATACGAAACCCTGAACTTCAGTCCTGAACAGAAAATGGGGAAAATGGCAATTTCAATTTTCTACCGCTCAGTCATAGGTTGCTCCCTTTAACAAAGTATGAACTTGATGTCATAAATTAAGGCCTACTGCTTCCTTAAAGAAAGGAACCAGCTCAAAGTTTGGATTGCAGTAGTCAAACGAAAGAAATTGACACTTGACACAATTCCAGGGTCTGTAGCGCTCATTTCATTACCAGAAAGTAAGTGTGTTCAAGCTAACGATTGATAGCCCACAGTCTACAGAGGGAGAGGGGAAAAACCTACGAAAAATTATTGGTAATAAAATCAGTGCGACAGACCCCGGAGTTTCACGACAGCGTCCAATTCTTTTGTTTGGCCACTGCAATCCAACCTTTGAGCTGGTTTGTTTCTTTAGGGAAGCAGCAGACTTTTATTTCTGACTCAAGTTAATACCCTATTGAAGGGAACAACCAACCACTGAGCAGCAAGGTCAGAAAACTAATTTCACCATTCCCCACAGTGTTCATTTCAGTTCAGGAGGGCTGAAGTTCAGGGTTTCATATACGTGCAGTAGTCAACCAGAGGAGTAAGTCGAAAAATTATGCTGTTACCTAGCAACTGAAAGATGCCTTGAAACAGTCTTGAGGGAACAAAAGAGGAGCTGAAACCTGCCTTGATGGTGACAGCTGTTGAGCCTGAAAACTCTGGCAGTTTTTCCCTGGTTGGTCAGCTCTGGGGGAGGAAGGAAAACCTCCTGGTGACTTGTTGATTGCGTTGCTTGCCGTGTGAATGCAGCGTTAGCAATCCCAGTGCACCGGAAACAGTTGATCCATCTGGTGAAATGTGTCAAGCAAGAACTCAAAATTCTAACTGCACTGTGTTTAAAATGGCAAGCGAGTGCCAAAAAATTGCCACTTCCATAAATAAAGAACAGATGTGTTCACAGCTGGCGACGCTGGTGCCCGTGTATTATGCTGCCCGCCTGAGCACTGTAATGTCGTGCAGTAAAACCTGCACAAATGTCCCACGTTAATACTTTCGATCAAGTCATAAAACCACTTCCTGTAAGTCGTCCAGTGTTCCATATTGCACTCTTATACAGTATGTTGCACTAAAAGAGCAACGGCCATACTTCACCCCAAACATCTTTGTAAAACCGCTGCAATGAAATAAATTTAATTATGGTTGAATGTAATTTCCTCTGTGGGCCTTAACAGTGTATTAATGACCAAAAACCATCTGCATAATTGTGGTTTTTCTTCACATAGAGCCCATGAGCAATATCATTTCTCACATTTAATGCAGCTATACAGGGAAATGTATTTCTTGTGGTCAGCGTGACAGTCCATTCTATGATACATTGCCTTAAATGTAATGTAATGACTGCGGGGGAGTTGTACAGTGAATACTTGATAGTATTAGGCGAAGCAGATAAACCTTTGTGTTAAATGTGACCCACTTTTTTTTTGTTGCTGTGATTAACTTAAAAACTCAGAAGAAATCAGTTTCCATTTGTCTCCTAACACGTCTGTATAAATGTTAAAGCTATAAGATGATGTATTGTTGTTCTGTAACTAATTCACTAACATTGACACCAGTATGTTAACATGTTGAAGGAAACACCACTGATGCTACTAATCACTCAATGCTTATGAAGTATGCCAGTATTTTCAGTCGTATTGTGTGCAAACAAATGTACTGGATGAACATATCATGTCACAATTTAACTGTCGCTGTGAATGTCAATATTGTTCAATATTCTGTCCATTCCATGTGTTTTGTAAATGTCATCCTGCTGTGCTGTTGATCAGTTTTCATCAGCTTTGGTCTCAAACGCTGACCAAATGGTGTCCTGTCTCAGATGTCCTAACAAAGCCACCAAATGTTATTTTTCAAAGCAATCATGAACAAAAAAAAATCATGTTATTGTTCCTTTTTTTCTGTGCTTTAAATAGTCTAATGTGTGTTCAGAATCATGAAAATGGATGTCCAGCTCAACCACAACCATGTGTCTTCACCTGAGACTCATTACAACCAAACACGACTTAATGTGATATCCTCTGGGTTATAGTAAACTGGGAGGAAACAGCTGTTGTTGTGTTTGGCTGGATGAATGCTGAAGGTATCAGGGGAACATGGTTGAGAATATCTGCTGTGCCATTTATTGTAAAGAAGATAATTTTGAAAGATTTGCACATTTTTGTTCTCAGTGTAGCAAAGCACCTGACCTCTATGAGCTTTCTTTTGGAACTGGACTTGGTGTTACATATATTTCTATTTTGAGAAGAGCTTATCTCGGTTTTGACTGCAACTCCAGGAACATGTGGACAGTTTGTGGTTACTTAAAGTTTTAGTTGGTCACTTTTATAAAAATGTTCTTTAAAAGTCTCTAACACAGCTGATCAAACATGAGTCAAGGTTCTGTTACTGCATTGCCTATTTCTCGCCTCAAATGTATTTAGAACCATATTTTAGTGTACTGTTTAGCTGTAAGGGCCCCAACACACCGCACAGGCAGTTGGCAGTCAGCCAGTGTCAGGCTGTGGGTGAGTGTCTGTCACCCTAGTTTTTGCAATGCCTCCTGCACAGTTGACACTAGTCGACCCTTGGCTTTTTCTCCGCTGTTGATTCAGCATGTTGAATCAGCATCTGACACAGCGGAGCCTGTCTGTGAAATCACTCTGATTAGCTTTTCAGCTCAGTGCACGAGAACAGAAGGAAGTAAGGAAAGCAAAAATAACTTAACTTGTTACATTAAGTTTGACTATTTTTTAGCCATTGAACTCTTTGGCATAAATGTTTTGAAATTGTTTGCATTATTGTTTGCTAGCGCACAGTAAATATACGTTGTTCTTTCAATATTAGGTTGTGATTCTAATATGCTAACTAGCGTCTTGAATCCATCGTGTCTGTCTTCCTGTTTCCCGTTTGAATGACGGAGACTGCTAGTGTGCAGAGTTATTTCCCCATAACGCAGGTGTAGAACGTAGGTGCTGGTTGGCAGTTTGCCGTAGTCTTTGTGGAGTGTTCCAGTGTAACTGTTTGGCCAAAACACTGGAGACATGAGGCGACATAACAGTTGGCGTTCGTTGCCACTAATCTTTGATGTCATTTTGGTGTGTCAACAGTACACTAAAATATGTTTCTGAAAACACCTTAGGTGAGAAATATTAAATGAAGTAAGAGTCTTGATTCATTATTTGATCGGCGCTGCCTAGTTTGATAGTGTAATTACAGTTAATGAGCATTGATTGACTCAGCAGACTCCTCAGCTCTGATTGGTCATTTAATTCAGCTACAGTGGATTCTTGCAAATGCAATTAAAAGCATTACGCCTCATGTGTGGCTGTAGTGACAGTTTCAGCGAGTATGACAAAAAGTTACCAACTGCAGCTTTAACAAACACCTGTGTGTGTTAAGAGTTGGTCTGTTAGCTCAGCTATTCAGATTTATTTTCCATCAATGCACTTAGTTCACCAGCATTTCATGCCCATATTAGACAGTATTTTTATATTGCCATGTCTGTACCATCCCCACAGCTTTAGTTAATGAATAACATGAATAATTTTATTATGAATGTTAACTTATCCTGCTTGCACTAACTAGTGGAAAGAGGGACTACTTTCATTCACTGAAATATGATGCCACTATGCTCACTGTACATGATGACTCTCAGTGAGGGATAGACTGCTGTACAATCACTTTCTACCAAATAACACTGCCCCCTGCTGGTTTCAAACCACCTAGACCAAAAGGTAAAGAGAGCCAAGCTCTCACTTCAACAGAACACAATAATTTTTTCATACATTACTTTTTGTAATGCTCAAACAGGGTTTCAGTTTTATGGGTAATGTGAGTACATTGGTACTTTTTTTTTTTTTTTTGGTGGGGGTATTGTTAGTATAAGTGTTTTTTGGTATTTATATGTATACAAATAGAACAAAACCTTGTACTGGTTTGATGGAACTAAGGGGAATACCACTGAATTTCAACGGGTTTTTTGCTTTTGTTTGTTTGTTTTCTTGCTTTCCTATCCATGTAAATTATACTCCATGTTTTTCACTTAAATCAGTAATAAGCAATGTGTCCAGAGAGCGGGTTGTAGACAGAGCAATAAAAAAAATAGCAGTAGTTCAGGAGGCATGCAGCAAAAAGTTGAGCATCTCTAGAGCAGTGGTTTCCATGGTGATTAACATGGTGGGAAGGAATCAAAAATATGATGTACGACACAAAATTGTGTTTTCATAACTTTTCTATAATAGCTTTCTTG